TACAACACAGCTTATTTTGTGTTTGACCAAGCAAACACAAAAAAGTAATGCTATTTTTCCCATAAACATTTTACTTGTTGCTTGATTTTCTTATACTAAGACTGATAGCTCCATGAACTGCACCTCAATTGCCCCTCTGCTCTAAAAAGGCCCAATTCACAAAGTACTGCATATTGCGCTGATATTTTTGAACACATCAAATTGTCCCTTATGTGCCAGGTTGAGCTGTTGGTGGGGCTTCAGACAGCCTGTGACGGATTCGACACTCGGTAAATATGTTGTAGTAAATACATTGTAATATTTCCAGACTCTATTTACAGATTGTAGGCCATACAAAGGTGGATTTATGCTCCTGATCTCGTCGATTTTTTAGCGTGACCAGTGTTGTGTGTTACTAAATAACCTGTTACTGTAGTGCCACTATTATTTTCAGTAACTAGTAGAAAGTAAGTTGCTTTCCAGATTCATTAACGCCGCAACAATTACTGACATTTAAAGCACTCGTTATTTTATGTAAAACAGTCAACAACAAGCAGGCAGAGTTACGCTAATGTACATCGCCTAAATTTTCCCTGCTCCAGTGAAACAACTAGAATATAGCAGTGAGTTGTTGTCTGTGTGCAGGAAGGAAAGCATCTCTCACAAGAACGAAGCACCGAGCTAAACAACAAAATGCTTCTATTAAACAAGCTGTCAGAGAGCCCTGCAGACCAAGGAGGAGACGCTCTATAGCTTGATTAAAAACACAGCATGCTCCATGGTCTGTAAGCCGGGCTATAGACTGATAGACAGGTACGTTGATGTCGACGTGCTTCATATCAACTGTTGAGTCTGTTGCCTTTAAGGAAGAGGTAAAATACCTACACCTTGAAAATGTCTACAGTATTATCACAGCAACACTGAAATATTATGAACACTAAATAATGTGAACATTAATATGAGGATTCAAGCAAAAAAGGTAATGCTGAAGTATCTTTCCCAAGTAACTTTTATAACGCAGTTACTCTGCTAGTTACTTTTTGGCATTCGTAACTAGTAACTGTAACTAGTTACTAATTTTTAGTAACGTTCCTAACACTGATCATGAAATCTAATATAAATACTGGCCAGCTATCTTGCTACTGCACTGCTGCACAGAGATGCTGTTTGCATTAAATGCTAGGTTTCTGCAGCTGCGCTGTTATGAAGCTCCACCATCACTACCCTTTTTTATTTAAAAATTGCATCCATAACAGCGTTATAATGGTGTCACAGTGTGTGGTTTCATATTGCATTATGGCATTTTCATATAAACATATACAGAGTGCAAAGTCAGCATGACCATAATAGAAACAATATTTACATCTAAGGGAAAACACCTGGTTTGATTATTTCAGAAGTTTCCTTTTAACACTATTAGTGTCATTTGCTTCTGCTTAATGGCCACTACTGTGAAAACATAATCATTTAACTAAAGCTTACAATAATGTCATAAAATCTGTAAGTAAGTTCAGTAAGGAATATACCCCATGAACTCCTGTTTCCAACATGCAGACAAACCAACAAAGATATAAAACGCTGGCTCACAGACTGATGTCTGCAAGAATACCAGAGGTGGTTTATTTTTTTCTAACTTTAATGCAGCTTTGTTGTTCTTTAATATACAATACAGTCAAAGCCAACAGAAGGCAGACTGTTGTTTATTTTCAGGTAAGAGAAGACACCCTCAGGGGACTTAAAAAGTCAATAGAAATAATTTTAGAAGCGATTGTTCTAACCTCATCTACAGTGACATTTCCGAAGAGAATGTATGAGCCTTTAATTTAAACAGTATTAATATTCAACAATTGTGGAGAGCTCACATACAGCAGTGTGTTTTTTTTTTTTTGTATAGCTCTGATTTGGTTGGAACAAAGGATGAAGTTGGTATGTGTTCATCAGACTGTACTTTCTCTTCAATCCTTATTAACTCACTGTATATATAGATATCAACAGCCAAAAGGGGCGGTCTTTTAAAGCTGGAATTCACTGTTTAATCACCATACATAAATGGGAGCGTTCACCTTCACACCATTCAAAATCCCATCATTACAAAGCTCTCAGGATTTATTCAAAATGAAGACCGACTCCTTTTTAATTTGCTTGAACCTATTGCATTACTTTGCAACAATACCGACTATATAATAAAAATGATTGACTTTCAGGTACAGCAAGCGTTGGTCATTTACCTCTGTAATGAGTATGCTTTTATTTAAAATACATGGTAAATAGACTGCACTTATGTAACGCCACTTGAAGCGTTCCACTACATGTCAGCATCTACCGTGTTCACATCCACATTCACACACACTGATGAAAGACACTGCCATGCTCATCAAGCTCTAATCTAATGTGCATTCACACACAGTAACACACTAATGGCACAGCCTCCGGGAGCAATTCAGGGTTAAGTATCTCGCCCAAGGATAATTTGACCTTGTGACTGGAGAAGCTGAGGATCGAACCATTGAACTTCCATTTTGTTGCACCATCCAATTTACCCCTAAGCCACAGCCAGTTATATTTGTGACATGGCATTGTTAATCAAAAAGGGATTCCAGCCTCCTTAAAAGCTCTCAAAATTTAAGACAGAGGCGCTGTTGCAAGGCAGGTAGCAGCTTGGGCCTCATGCAACTAAGGGGCCCCTGGCAGCAAACAAAGATTAAAGCACACTAGTGACTCAAAATGTGCAAAGTTTGCAATGACAGTAGGAAACCACCCTAAGGGGGCCCCAACTGAAAGCACTCATGCTGCCTAAGCGACGCACCATCCAGGAGAGACTGTCAGGACTGACTCTTATTTCAAAGAAGTGCAGCTGGAGGACATAGTATTAGCTTAGCACAATATGTAGAAACAATGCTCAAAGACTGTTAAACAGCATTGGTTTCATATTGTGGGTTTTGTTCCCCAAAGGCCTCGTGTCCACCTAGTGTTTTTCTGGGTTTTATTTTTATTCTTCATATTTACATTTTAAAAATGTAAAGTTTGTATTGTATTTTACATTACCATTTTTAGATATAAAAAATAAATTTCTACAGTTTTGTTGGTGTCAGATTATTTTACACAATGGTGATAACCGCAGGTTTGAGGGGCCCCCTATTCATTTTTGCTTAGGGCCACAGCTGACATTAGGATCACCACTGTTTGGTGGTGTCAGTTTGCTATTAATCTATTTCCCTTTTTGCAATATTCTTTAATGACCTGGCTGGAAAGCAATACCGTTTGAGATTATTGCTTTGGTTATTGGAAGTCTCTGAGTCTATTGGTGCTGGTTCAAATTATGTTTGCGTATTGACGCTGTAAGAAAGGGCAATCATTCACAATACTAAACTTCATTAACTGGCATTTGCTCACTCTAAGATGACCGGCTCTTGCTCTTTCTCTAGAGTCAATAAGCAGACATATTGTTAGACTCTTAAGTGTTGTAGTGTTGTTATTTCACATTTGCAAAGTTGGACATAATGACTGCAGAAGTTATTAGAGAAGACTAAGTGACAAATGTTGAGGTCAATGTCGAGGTGAAAGATACAAAACCATAATTATTGAGTTTGTGGATCCATACTATTGGTTACTGGTACATGTGCAAAACACTCCCATAGGGGTTAATCGAAATGAAAGAGCACATCATTTACTGCAACAATGTGTCTCATTGCTGTGTTTTAAATAGTATTTTGGGAACAATTGAGCTTCAAGGCACAAAGGACTAATATCTACCAAGCTGTGGATTCACACACAATTAGCTATGGGAATAAAAGCTATTTTAGTGAACTATGAATGAACTATACTAGGCTCTGCTTGGACAATGACATTAATATTTCTGCTCTAAAACATTTTTAGTGCCATTTTTTTGTTCTATTTAAGCTGAAGCGATCAATTGTTTGGTGTAGCCTCTTCATGTCCTTAGCATGACACATAAGAACATTTCTCTGCCGTCCTCATTTTTCCCCACATTGTTCTCAGATGACAATTCCAATAAGGTTTGTGTTTCGTAACAACAAGTAACCAATGTTTCCTGATGAAGTATGGGCTTTTACAAGCTTCCATAACATTACAGATACATTTACTGAATTTGTTTTGATGTTACACATAAGTAAGATTACCATCAAGTTCCATAAAGCTATCTGGCATTCTTGGGAGGAGAAGAGATGAGGATGGGAAGTTTCTGATGTTACTTGAAATTCTTTAAATTGGCCATTATCAAAAAGCATACAATCTGCAGTGGAGCCCCCTCCTGCTTTATAGGTAAAAACCAACATAGAGAGATCAGGTGCTTTACATTGATCTCCTAGCTGGTAAAGACAGCTAGAGGTCCCCCTGTCAATTAACTAATTTGGACCATGAATATTCATCCCAACACAATTATTCAAACAGTCCTGGGAAGTAATTATATAGGTGTTTCCTTTTGCAGATATAGAGGTAAACACAGCATTTAGAATCTTTCAGAAATTGCAGGAACATTTCACCCTGTTTATTTACAACACAATCCGAACTCCCCATCAGTATCACGAATACAATCTTCAAGCTACCCAATTCTACTGATCAGGTCCCCATAAACATGGCCAGCATCAGCTTCTGACAAACTATAATACTGAATCAACAGGTGGTTATACAAACTCTGAAGGTCAGCCCACACAGATCCTTTAGTGGGAAGAAAATTATAAAACAATCATTGGAAATCAAATCAAACTGTAAATCTATTGTGCCTTCTACTGCTTTGTCAATTAAATAAAGCTCATGCAACCTGAAGATTTAATTTTTCTCCAAAATTTACCACACCAACGGAGCCTTTTCTGGTGTTATTGTGAGTCTTTCTGTTGTGGCCAAACCAAGTATAACCATGTATGTCTATTGTCTTTAGTGCGTTTCATTAAGGGATAGGATGTCTGGGTTGAAACTCTGTAATGTTAAGAGCCTAAACTCATATTCATATCAGTCCATCCATTTATATTCCAGTGTACAAGAGTAAATTATTCAGGACTTACAGGCTGGGAATACACTGTTCAGGTGTCGGTCCTCCGTCACCGCCGTTTTCCACACCTGTCAGCCGTCTTTAACTCTGCTGCTCCCGTGATGTAAAACTAACGACCTTATTTCATTGCATTCATCCAATCAAGTTATGAAATTCAGTTTATGCGATTCTTGGAAGACCGAATATAAACTTTTCTGAACTTCTCATTTCTATTCAGCCCTTTTTTCTTTCTTAGCACATCCACCTTCCTGTACGGATCCAAATTCCACCTTTATACTGGTCGTTCTCATCTCTCTCTCAGCAGCCACACTCCGTCAGAGACTCTCCCATTGTAGCCCCGATGAGCAGGTTCTTCAACAGGGCCATGATGTGACACCGGAGATGATCACCGACATCGGGGTCAAAATGAGTGCTTGCCTTAGCGAATCGATCTTGGCTTCCAGTTGTTCAATTCTATCATGAAAAGGCTCAACTCTCAATATTAATCCATATGAAGAGAACCAAGAGTCACATGGAAACACGAGGAACATGCAGGTAGACGTATCACAGGAGCAGTGAAACAAAATGAAGTGAAACAAGCAACACTAGAGTAGAAGGTCGTCTGTCTGTCTGGCTTAGATGCCCTTCCACTCAGGTGAAGCCCATCTGCAATCACAGGTAGGTGGGCGGGTCTCCCAAGCAACCAGCAGCATGCCACCACCCACCACCAGAGGTAGCCAAAACTCTGAAACACAAAGAACAACAGCACCAAGCAAAAAACCATGGCCAGGGCAGTCACAAGTAAATGAGGTTGTTAACAAAAACACCAAGATCGAGATGCTTTTCCCACCTGTGTGATTGTCTGCCCCGCCCTGATTGTTCCCAGCTGCATCTCGTTGTCTTCCCCCTCACCCTACTATTTAGTCTGTAGCTTCCTTCCTTCTGTGCCAGTTCGTCTTCAACCCCTGTGAGAAGCGTTCAAGCCTTTTGTTTCCCTGTGATCACTTTTTTGGATTGTATCTTCTTCAAAAGTAAAGACTGTTTTTTTCCCCCATCAAAGACTGCGTCGTGAGTCGTGCTTTTGGGTTCACTTACCTGTGGTGTTGTGACAATAACACTCAGTTTTGATACTAGAACGTATTTCCTGTACTACATCAATAAAACAACATAATACTTATATACCCACTGTAGAAGCACAAATTATTCGAATCCAGTCCATTCTTCATTAGCTCCCTTTGTTGGGAACAATGACTTTATATGTGTTTGTTGTTCTTTTCATATCGGATGTATACCACATACATCGTATAAACCTGCGCTGTCACAGGATCTCCTTGGTCTACAGCTGCCCGGTAGTGCTGCTCCATGATGCACTCTGAGAATGCAGCCCGTGGTTGATGACGGATGAGGCAGCACGGAGCCATACCAGAGTGGAGCTGACACACAAGCATAAGTATCTGGAGGACATTCTGGGTTAAATTATAACTAAAGTAAGACATTTCCAGATGGTAATTAAGATATGATCATTCTATTGTGCTGTCTGGAGTTAATTTTAAACACAAGAAAAAAAAATCTTTCCCTGATGTTAGAATACTGACAAGTAAATAATTTAGAAGTCTTATTTGTGTTGAACAGCAGTCCTGAGCAATTAAGCTCTGGGGAACACTTGTGACCTTGAACAGCAGCATCAACTGAATAAAAAGGATTTCTTATTAACATGCAGACAGAACCTTATAACAAACATTGCACATTTTCTGTCCTGTTTGCTTCTTTTCCCTTTCATATTTACCTGATAATAATTAGTCTATAAGAGCTATTTGGATTGAACTCAAGGTTAGATTCAACTGCAGGAACCACGTTACCATAGCAACTTTATCTATAACCCATCTGGACTTATGGAAATCTCACAGTATTTAACCTCAGAATTTATCAGGGATTCTTCTTTTAGAAGTTCAGGGCCGCCGAAGGTAAAAACTAAAGAAGATACATAATTCTGAGCATGTTTTAGTTTAAAAAAAACATGAAAGAAACAACATAAGTGTTGCTACAGGGAGTTAGGACAGTATAGCATTGACAGGGTTTAGATAAAAAGGATGAGAGAGTTTGAACTGATGTCGAACCAACACAGGCATGTGTGAAACAGTGTTCTTCACAGAGACAGCCTAAAGGAAATGTATTCAGTTGGCTGCGGAAAAATCAGTTCGAGGATGAAATAGTGCTGCAGTATCTGGCTGCATGAGCTGATAGGAGTCTTGTTTGGAAGTGAGCAGCGGGTTCACGAATCCCTCCTGCTGAGGGTTTAATAGTTAGAGTGTGGAGAAGACTGGCAGTATCCAGCGCTCTACGACGTGAGGAATCGCAGGCCTTTTCTTCTGCTGTCTGAAAATCTCTTATGAAATGCCTGGCAGCTTTTCAGCTGTTGTTAAATGCCTGTGGCTTGGAAGACTGTTATGTTATCACACCGATCTGATAGAGAAATGGGGAATTTGGAGACAAAGGAACTTACACAAAGACTGAACCAGTCTGGGTTCACGGGAAAGTTCAGCCTCCTGACTGAAGCTTAATAGAGACATATTTTGTTCTAGCTACGCTGAGAGATTGATACAAATGGTTTTGAGGCATTTCCAGTCCACAGCAGCACATGCAATAGTCCAATGAATGTAGACATGGTTCATATCTTGCTATGGTATGTATCTCACTATCTCACTATCTCACTAAGATATAACATACAGATGTGTGCTTAACAGTTAAAGGTAGGTACACACTGGGCCGACCATTAGGGGTCAGGGCTTGGCGGGGCTTTCAGAGAGAGTTGGTGGTTATGGTCGGTGTTGTGTGAACAGCATGCGTCGGTGCTGCTTGAGGCTGCTACCAGTCAGGGAAAGAAATCACTGTGATTGACTCAGCCACCGTTTCGATGCACGAGAAGAGACACAGAAGTTACAAAGGAAAACAAACGACAAGTCAAGAGGGCACACACAGAAGTCCCCTCTAATGGAACGCCAGTACCATCTCCCTAACTTTGGATGCTTTCTTAAGTCAAGGTAATTACAAACACATTCAGCAGAAAAATGATTAAAGTGTGAAAATGTTGCAATTTGTATATCCTCAGTCTGGTTTTCCACTTTCTGTGACACATATCCGACTGCCACCGCTTGCTGATATGGAGTGGTATTGCCAACTAATTGGCAGTAGACTGCTATCAGTTTGGGGTAAACAGCATGACTTGTTGACCCAACGGCGCAGCCAGAACACATGCTACATTGTTGTCAGTCTGGCTTAGTTTGAATAACAGTAAGATCATTCCTATCAACCAAAATCAGCTAATCAAGAATCATTTTTTCTTCTTTGAAAAAAATAATTCTAACCTCCTGAATTCAGACAATAATGATTGTTGGGGACACATGCAGTGTGGCACAGGAGTTATATTAAAAAGAAGGTGAGTTTTTATATTCCTCAACAAAGAAAACAAGCTTAGAAACCAAATAAAAACCAAATAAACCTATAAAAGAGGTCAACTTAATATAACTCTAAATAAACAAAATGAAAAATAAGGTGTGAACTCAAAACAAAAAAATGGACGCCAAGTTAACTAAATACAAGGAACCCAGTGACAACAGAGCACATGGTCTGCTCCAAGGAGCTGCCTCCAGCATAAGAGCTTTGTCTACCCTTGGCCACACATTTGCGGGTTTTGGAGATCTTGGGCATCACTGGATGCTAGATAGATATAACCCTGAGGGACTGGCGCAAACCCAAACAATTGTGTCTGGGTCATGGAGCGGGAAAAAAAGGGAAAATGGAACACTGTGGGTGGACACTGTATATATTTGCACCAATGAAACTAACAGAATTCAGACTGTGGCGGTAATGCAACATATATGAATGCCAACCGCCCTAATAATGCTACAGAAGAAGAAGGCCACATCTTTTGCCCAGATCAGAAAGTTCCCGCCCCCAACATCCAGGTTACTCAGGAGAAAGAAAATAATAATGTTTTAATACAACAGAAATTAGTGTTTAATCTTACAGAGTATAAGGTGGGTGCACTAAAACAGTGCAAGGCTAATGTATAAATAAACTAATAACAAATCAAAATACTTGTGTAGATTGTTTGTGTGGTTGACACACATGTAATAAACATGTGTTGGTGGACAACTAATGAGGTGAGAGTTTGGGTGAGTGTGAGATCACCCCGTGTGGCTTTAGCCATCACAATAATCTGTAGGCATTGTTGCCTGTACACTTTTACTATGGACTGTTGGTTTTTGTGTCCCTTCTTTCACTCATGTCCAACATGATGATTTCCATGGGAGTTATATTTTATACCTAGGCTTTGTATTTATGTCATTGTGTTGTTTTTATGGATGTATTGCCTGTATGGACTTCTGTTACAAACCAAATTGCCCCTAGGGAACAACAAATCCAAATTATGTTAATTTGCATCTTCATTCAACTGGAAACGTATGAAGCAAAACTGGTTCTTGTTGGTGAAGGTGTCAGAAGAGGTGTTTTAATGTGGCTTGTATAACAGAAGACAAAACAGTATATGACAAGAACACCTGGACAAACTGTTTGTACTCAAAACAAGTCCATGTAAGGATTCAGCAACAGGCAGTTTATAGAGAATATAACGATGAAGACTGACAGAATTCTTTAAAAAGTATTTTGCAGAGCTTTCAATTTCCAACTCTAATTTAACAAAACCCTGCTCATCAGTACACATGAGATATTCAGAATATGCATTCTTTTTACATAATTGCTGAATTAACAGCTGTAAGCTCACTAGCTATTAGTCCTGAGTGTCCTGAGTGCCTGTACAGACATTTAGCTCAATATGCACGGAAATACACTCATTAAAATAACATTGTATGTGCACAGCAGTTTCGGAACATTAAGGTGTGCGAAGTGATTAAAAAAGAATAGCAGAGGAGTTCTAGGCAGACACTCTGCAACCTGGACATTCAAACACAGAAAATCAAAAGTACAATCAATCGACAAGTATATTAAAAGGTAACACATGATGCAAATTTTGTCCCTAGCCAGTCTACAAACCAATTATGAGAAAGGTCCATCCTCTCCTTCTTCTGCCTGCTCCACTTTTCAGAAAATGTG